CCCGCCGCGGCGGCGCCCCCGCCCCCCCCCCCCCCCGCCGCTCCCGCCCACGCCCGCCGCGGAGGCGCCGTTAGAGTCCGCGTATCTGCTCGCCGCGTCTCCCTGCAGTAGCTTTGACGCAGGAGAGGAGGAGGAAGAGGAGCAGGGAGAAGAAGAGGAAGAAGAGGAGCTGTCGCTGCCTCCGCCGCTGCCGTTGTTGCGCTGCTGCTGCTGCTGCTGCTGCAGGAGCGGCAGCGCCGTCGCCGCCTTGGCCTGCTGACCGCGGCTCCTGCAGGAGTCCTGTTTGCTCCTGCAGCCGAAGTCCGGCCGCAGGATGTTGTCGATGAAGAAGTTGGTGGTCCTGCTCATGTGGGCCCCCTGTGCGCCCTGCAGGAGCAGTGGGGGAGGAGGAGGAGGAGGAGGAGAAGAAGGCAGGTGCGGGGACAGGGACATGGTCTCCTCCTCTGCGGAGTCCCGGGTGCTGCTGCTGCTACTGCTACTGCTGCTGCTGCTGCTGCTGCTGATCTCCTTTTGCTCTTCCATAACTACTGCCGCCGCCGCTGCCGCTGCTGCTGCTGCGGGAAGCTCGGCCGCTCCGCACTTGTTGCGCGCTGTTCCTCTCCTTCACGATCCAGTTTCCAGACTCTCGGGGCACGAATGAACGAACCAAAACAAGAAGAAGAAGAAGAAGAAGAAGAAGAAGTCCTGGTGCTGGAGTGAAGACACCAAGAACACAGTATGGTCATCACCTACAGCCGCCGCATGTCTCCACTGAGCGCGCACAACAGCGCGCAGCTCCGTGAGTGTGTTTGCGCCCCTGGAGTCGCGCGTCAAATATCAGTGCGTCCTCTCACTGCGCCAAACTCTACTGTAACACACTCTCTCCCTCACACACACCCTATCTCTCTCGCTCTCTTCCCAATCCCTCTCTCGCTGATTTACTCAGCCGGAAGCGCGTGTGCACGAACAGGCAGCCAATGGCGCAACAGAAACCGTCACTGTCACTGTCCAAGGTGGCCAATCAGAGACGCAACGTGCGCGGAGTAAACCCGAGATCAGTTTTCATCATCATCATCGTCACACACACACACACACACACACACACACACACACAGCCACGCGCTCCAGTTCATATGTATGTTAATAACAATGTTAATCAAAATGTTCCCTTATTTACGAAAACTGTTCCGTCACAGGGTTTTTAGCCTAAAGCTCTCACTTTCTGTGACTCGTTTAAAATGTATCACTGTATTCATTCATAAATTGTCACAAATATTGGACAATTAGAAAGAAAACGCACGGAATGTTGTCGATCTTCTCCAAATTTAAACATTTTAAAATGTGGTTAAAAATGAAATCTAAAAATGTTTTTATTGTTAGAGCAACATTTCGATAAACCGTCGGTGAGCAGCTCGATAAATGACCGAAACGACGGTGTTAAAGGACGAGTCCGTCAAATGAGTCAACATAAATTCTTCTCTTCTATTAAAAATGACATGGGATTTTATTATGATTTTTTTTTCTTTATTTGAAAATGTTTTCTCTTTAATTCCTCTGCGTTTTTTAAGTATTTGCTTTTTGTTCATTTTTTTTCTCATCGCGGATTTAAAAAAAAAACCCTAACTGACTTAGGAAAACTAAATCAAAATGAAATTCATTTTCGAAATAAACATTTAATTTTTTGTATTTCATCTTCAAAGTTGAAACTCAATTTTATTGATATTTAAGGATAATGTTTTTATTAATATTTTTTAAAGCGTATCAGACACGTTTCCCAGATAAACGTTATGACAAGATCATAAAAATCTGATTTTTTTTCTTCATTTTTAGTGTTGGATCATATAATTAATTAGAACGTATTTAAGCTGGACGGTAAAATACATTTGACAGTTACAGTTCAACTTTATTAAAAAGTTGTTTTTTTCCCCTAAAAACAAAAGATCGTTTGTTCTGTGTTCGTGTTGTGTCATCGCGTGTTCTTACGTCATTATTTTGGACCCTTTAAGATCGTCTTGAAATTTGACAAATCTTTAAATAAAGGTTGTTTTAAAAGTCATTATTCGTGGTAAAACATGTTCAGTAATGTGTCCCTGGTGCAGCTGAGAGTGTGTTTAATGATAATGAAAATTTACTACATCATAACAGTGATGAAGTGTTGATTTTAACAGGAGAAAACTCTATCCCTGCTCATTCCTGGCCTCTTAATTAAACTGCCATTGTGCACGAATCAGTGCTAAATGAGGCCGGTGTCGTGGACGCGCCGTTGTGCACTCTCTCCTCCCCCTCCTCCTCCCCCTCCCTCCTCCTCCGCCCCCTCCTCCTGCTCCTGCTCTTTAAAGATACTTTATAGCTTTTAATTAGTCTTTATTCTGCTCCTCTTCATCAGAGCCTCCTGCTGTCAGCGGCTCCTGGCAGGGCCCTTCATCACACGCGGACGCGCTCCGAGGCCTTATGCCCGCTCGTGCATGCGCGTGTGTTTGTGTGTCCGTGTTTGTGTACCGCTGCTGCTGCTGCTGCTGCTGATAAAGCATGTTGAATAAAAGCGAGGAAAAAAAGGAGGCGAACACACACACACACACACCTACAGACGCTCATGCACATAAATACACACATGCACGAGCACACACGCACGCGCTCTATTTAATGGAATGACTTTATTGACGTCTCGGAGGCTCCTGATTCATTTCACCTTTCAGACTCTGCTGCTGCTGCTGCTGTTGCTGCTGCTGCAGTAATGGGATGATGAATGAACTGACACACACGTATACACACACACACACACACACACACACACACACACTGTAGTCTACAGCAGTGAAGACTCTCAGTGATTGTAAAGCTGCTCCTGAAATTGAGTCTGGAGCCTTAAAGGGCCTCTTAGAGACCTTCATATTTCCTCACATCTTTTGGACTAAATGTTGTCCTCCCAGCTTCAGACCACGAATCAACACATACACACACACACGCACGGCTCTGTGTTTGTTACAATCTATGTATGTTTACTATTTAAAAAACTAAAGTCTGCAGAAATCTGCTAAAAACAGGAACAGGACGTAACACAGTTTGGTCAGCATCTATGATGTCTGGCTCTGTAGTAGAGCTGCTGTGGTGGTTTATGGTTGTACCACGACTGTATGGAGCAGTAAAGCTGCACATGTGGGTTGGACCACGTTCTGGTCCTGATGAGTGAGGCTGTGGTGAAGGTCAGGGTGGAACCTATTGGTTCTGGATACTGACTTGACAATAACTGGTTCTGGTTTGGTTTGGCTGTGTGTGTGTGTGTGTGTGTGTGTGTGTCCTTCAACTGACACGAGAATCATCCTGCTTGATATTCTCTGTTCATTTACACGTTTTATTCTGAGCCTTGTAAATACATTACGATAATATTATGTATTCTTTTGTCTTTTTTAACATTTAACATTTAGTTTTTGTTCATTGAGTTTTATCATTATTATTTTCAAAAATAATGTCAACGTTTCACTTGTTTATGTTTTGTTGTTAATACTATTTAAGTAGATTGAATCTGTTTAAATATTTTGCTTCAACCGTTTTTGTTCTTCGACTGCATTTTTTAATGATTGTTTTGTGTTTTCAACGTTTTTGAGTAATTTCTGATATTTTTACAATATTCACAGATCCAGAAAAATATATAAATATATGTTCTATACCAATCTTGTCTTCAGGGTAAAAAAGTAATGACATCGTAATTAAGCTATTAAAATGGTAACGTAGAACGTTGTTGCGTTACCCAGGTGAAATCTTTGTGGGGTTGTGCTGCCATCTTGTGGAAAGAGTTTGTCAGACGCATTACATAACAGTGATATGAAGTGGTTTAAAAATAACATTAAATTATATTCTTCTTCATCTTCTCACTACTGTTTCATAGACTTTTAATCTACAGTTATTATCCTCAGATATCCTTAGGAACCTCTATAAGTATCACAAACTATTTAGATTTTCTGTCATTAACGTATTTTCAGCTATGAATTTTCTCTTCAAACCATTATTATATGGTGTTTCATATAAAGGTTTTAACGCAGTTAATTATAGACACATGTTTACGAAGATGTTTTCAGAATCTGGCCTAAAAAAACTAATGCACTACTCTATATGTCCACAAGATGTCAGAATATATCTTAGAGAAATGCTATCAAATACAACTGAAATAATACATTTGTTACAGCTGCGAGGAATCTGTCCACACATTTGGTTTTATTCCAGCGCTGTCTGTTTGTCTCGCATCTGTCTGTCCTTTCTATGTCTGTCTGTATTGACTTGTCTTTTCGTGTGTCTTTCAACCTGTCTGACTGTCTGACTGTCTCTCTGACTGTCTGCCTGTCTGTCTTTCTCTAACATTCAGTCTCTGTTTTTCTTTCAGTGTCTTTCTCTGTCTCTCAGCTCCCCACCTGTCTCTCCCTCCGTCTCAGTCTCAGTCTCCGTCTTTGTCTGCGGCTCATCCATTAGTCAGTAGTTAGAAGCAGAGGTTGCCTGGCATTGACCTTTGCCCTGCGCTCACATGCTCTCACACTCACCTCTCATCAATAATGGAGCTGAATATTAATGCAGATAAATAATTAATCTGTGGAGCAGAGTCCACTGAGTCCTAATGAGGAGACGGGGACAAATGGCTCCTCTCTTATTACGTCTTGCTGAGAAGTTTGCCAAAGCTCTAGGTGATGATATCAAGATAAATGAGCTCCTCTCATGGGCTGGCAGATGAAATCCTTCCCCGTGGTTTGTTCTGAGCTTGTTGATCAAAGCTGACGTTCATTTTGACTTCTGTTTTTGTTTGTTTGTTTGTTTTAGCTTGAATGGAAAATGTTGTTTTTATTCCTATACAGTGTTTCCCAACCTTTTTTAACCACAACAAAAATGTACATTAGAAAAGTCCCATGGTGCACCACCAGACAAACATGTCCCAATAGTGAATCACTGCCTGTAAACCTTTGTTACTGTCTGAAATATAGTAAACAAGTATGAAGCCCACGCCTGTTTACATTTGTTATTAAACCAAATGACCAGAGCATAGACTATTTACATTGAATGTAGACTGTAAACTGGTGTGAAGTTGACCAGCTAACTACAGTGCTGTAAACTTCAGAGGACACAAACTGGTTCAGACTGGATCTAGACTTAATGAACAGGTGTAAACTGGATTGACTCTCTGTTCACCGTGTGTGAGAAGATGTCAAATGTTTGAAGACAACAGGTGTAACATCGATGTGCAGTGTGTGAACTGGTGTACAGAGAGTTGAACCATGATGGTGGGGTCAAGTGGACCTGACGTAGCTGAATGAACACCGTGTGCTGGGTTTAAAATGGCAGTCGGTCAATAGTCACCACTGGGTGGTGTAAACTGCTTTAAAGTTTACACCACAGACTAAGTGTGTTTAAACTGCACTCAGAGGTTGGAGCGAGGTGTGAACGGCAGGAAGGCTTTGGTTACTGACTTTTATAAACATGTTCCAAGATGACCAAATATTTAAAGAATAGATTTTACCCAGAGCCTCGCCTGTTTATTTTAGAATTAGCTTAAATTTCCTTTGGACTTTCTGAGCCTTGTTCACTCTGTCAGCCGTCCAGTGGAATGGTGACTTGTCCAAGGACCTTTATTAATTTAACAGTGTGTTTCTCTGGAGGTTTCGGGGGAAACCGTGTCATAAATCTGTCATGTGTGACTGCGGTGGAGTAAAAGGTTGAAGAAATAAGTCAAAGGAGCAGGTGGCTCCGATTGTAAGGAGGCCAATGAGGAGTATATCCTTCATCTCTCCTCTGGATGATGACAGTGACGAGGCCAGGAATCCAGATGAGACAGAGAGAGGAGAGAGAGGATCCTCAGAGAGATGACTGAAAGGTTAGAGAGGCTTCAGGCAGCTACACTGATTAGCACACACACACACACACACAAACATGAACACACACACACCCATAATACTGGATTCAGCTTGCACCGCAGACTCATTCTAATGTGTCTGGACACAAGCTGTAACACTGGGATGATTTGTTAGCATGCAGCTCATCAGCTCTTCAACATGACACCATTGTATCACAGACTGGTGGATCTGGTTGACTGATGATTTTAGCTCACAGAGACACAGCAGTTGTTGGTCTCCTGCCCCCGGAGGTCAGTTTGTGTTACTGAGGTAAATGTGAAAAGGGCCATTTCTCGTGCGCCGATTGACAGAGTAACACATTCACACCTCGTTTTCCAGTGGTCTTGTGTTAGAAAAGGCCTTTTCACGCTCACATATTATAAACAAACAACATGGAGGAGCAGAGAGCTGTGGTCGTATCAGGAAATATTAAAGGAATATCATCTTATAAATTATGTTGACATGGTCTACCGCTGCCTCTGTCACAAAATCCAGATGTCTTACTGTGTCACCTACTGTTTAATATCCTTTGTTCAAAACCACTGCTGTTACACACGCTGGCCACAGGAGGCAGCAGTGGGCATGTAACATGTGTTTTAAGCCAGTGATGTAGCAGATATAGTTTAATGCTTTGTGTGAGTTTTAACCAGGGAATTTGTTTCTGAAATTCACCCACACCAGACTCCACAGCTCCCTCCTGTGGTCAGCTGTTCTCAGTCATATAAATCTAGTTTGGTTTGTGGTTTGTCAAAATTCTTTTTGGTCTGTGAGTCAGTGAGAAAAAGCCGAGGACCAGTTGTTAAGGTACAGAAGAGTGGAGGAGATGCTGTTCACTGTAAAACACACTTAAAACAAACCTGAAGTGTCCCTTTAACTGAGCAGGAGAAGGAGGAGGAGGAGGAGGAGGAGGAGGAGAGTGAAAGTGTTTCAGTGCTGTAAAAACTTGTGTCTGTCATGACAAACTGAAGGAGGAGACGGGACATGAATAATGAGGATGTGAGTGGGAGAGGAGGTCGACGGGGAGAGGTGCATGATGGGATAACGGGATCAACAGCGTGTGTGTGTGTGTGTGTGTGTGTGTGTGTCAGATTGATCTGTGCTTTAGCCTCCTTTAGCCTCTCATTATGGTTGAACCCCGAGAACAAGACAGAGACGTTTTTCCTGACACCTCTGACATTTTCCTGCTCCTGTAAATCATCCACCTGAAAAAATATGATGAGGAAGATGATGAGAATGATGATGAAGGTTAGACAGGTGTAGATAAAGATGATGACAGTCGGTGCGATAATAAGGACGAACATGAAAATGTGGATGAGAAGTTCATGAAAATAATGACTACAGATGATGACGACGACGAGGAGGAGCCGACGGTTGATGAAGATCAGACGGTGATGGTTGATGACTCTCGATGCTGATAAGAGCTGTGATGAGGCTGAGTATAAATCTATGGATGATGACGATGATTGATTGATGGCTACAATTACGACGGTAAAGATTAGGACACTGAGGATGGAAATGAGAAAGAGAATAGAAAATGGAGGTTTGGTCCAGTTGATGAGAATAATCACTACATAGATTACATTCATAAGGATGAAGATGAAGAGGAGGAAGACAAAAATGACGATCAGTGCCATGATACAGAAGAGTAAAACATTAGATGATGATGAGAATAATAATGTTTGTCGGGAAGTTAGAGAGAAAGAACATGAGATAGGAATGATGATGAGGATTAGGGTTAACGTAGGATGAAGATGAGTCTGATGTCTGTGTGAAGAGGACAGTGAGGACGGAGGTGATAGTGATGTTTCACTGACAGAGACGCAGCCTCGACTGCCTCACGTCATATGAATGCACGGGAGGAGCAGCTGAGGTTCACAGAAGTTCTCGTCGTTCCGCTGTCTCCGCACTTAATGAGATGAAGTTGTCCAGTGTCGGAGGACGTCTCTCATGCAGCCGTCCTCTTCCCATTTCTCTCACGCTCACATTTGCATCTCAGACATGAACGTGGATCAATCATGTGGAGAATGAGCAGAGGTTTTAAAAATGTCCTGGTGATTGTCTGCCTGAGCCCACGGCTCCGTCAGCTGTCATTTATCATCAGTGACATCACTGCGCTACTTCCTGTCGACTCGTGTGTGCCTTTGTGTGTGTGTTTGAGTTTAAAACCCCGTGTTAATTATTTTTGGTTCATCAGTATCTGCTGCTGTCATGTACCCAGTCCTTAGACATTCAGCCTAAAATCCATTTTACGATCCCTGTCTTAGATAAATATGGGACAGCTTTTGGCTAGCTACTAGCTATTTGTTGGCTAACTAACCACTATACACTATTAGCTATCAACACTATGTATTGTATCTAAAGGTTTTTCTCCATCAGCTTTCATTGTTTTTACAGGAAATTCTATTTATCTTTTAATTTGTAATATTTTTGTTAATTTGCCTTCATTAATTTGTTTGTAAATTCATTTCAAATTCTAATTTTTTTTTTACTTTTATAAAATGTTTTAACATGTATTATAATAGTTAGCTATACCTAGACTTTTTTTTATCTCTTGTCTATTTTATTAGTCTTTCTGTTAACCTTGCAGGTTTGACTTCCATCTCCAGACGTTACGTTACTACAAAGTGTACGGCGTTTAGCGCTGTTGTTACAACTGTGTCTGTTGACTTGATTTTAATTGTATTGTTTAACCCTTTTAACTGAGCTTCCTGTCAACTTACATTTTAATCTGTGTGTGTGTGTGTGTGTGTGTGTGTGTGTGTGTGTGTGTGTTTCGTCCTCTCTTCTTATCCATCATCAGATGAATTTTCTCTGCTCAATCTGTCACTCCACGATTCCTCACTGTCCCCCAGAGCAGCAGGCCACTGCAGCCCCATCATCTATTCTGTAGTTATAAATGTACTGCTGCGTGTGCACGTGCACGCGCACGAGCATCTATCTGGTATTCACTGACACATCCTACTGCTGCTGATGTCTCAGTTAGTGTCAGCCGCTCCACTCCTCACCCTGAATGAGTGCAGACGAGGCCGCCCAGCTTTTACTTTATGACATCATCACTTCTGTTCACCTTTCACGACCTCGTTCAACAAAGCTGCTCTCTGTCAGGAATCATTTTTCACTTCAATTACCTCTGTACGACCCCATTCTTAAACCTTTTCTAAAGTAGAAGAAAAGTTTTCCTTCTTCATTTCAAATCTCCATGAAGAGAATCGGTGATTTCACATTAGAGTGCAGTAGAATGGTCTGTCCAATCAGCTTCCAGGTAAGTTAGAAAGTTACTACGTCAATGTTTCATCTTCCACCTTATGTGTTTGTAGCTCTTTGTTCCTAACCTCAGTGTCACAGATGGTAAGCTGAAATCTGTTATACTCTGTCACGTCTTCCCGTCATGACGACTGTGTATTCTGGTACTTTAAAAAAACAAACAAAACAATACAAAAAAACCCCCGAAATCCTGTAGACAGGATCTGATCTAAAGCTAGAGTCCAGTTTTACCTCCTCAGATGTCTTCACTTCACATCAGATAATTTACACTTCATGTTTTGTCATTTAACAAAGTACATACACAACATATGAAGCCCACACACACACACACACACACACACACAGCTGTTTACACACAGCTCCCGTCCATTTAAATGGAAATTGTGCAAAACAAATATTAGCATGTTATTATCATGGAGGATAAAGCTCTTATTAAGGTGCACACTGGGGTTTTTCTTCACAGGGCTGTTTGGTGTGGGGTTTTTTTTAAATCAAAAACACCTGGATTTCCAGGAAATGTAATCAGATTTTAGGCACATGCCAGTGTAAATCTCAGTTTTTCATAATCTGTTTACTTTGGTGTATTTATGTACAAAAATGCAATTAACCTCATTAGCTGCTTCTTTTTTGATTGCGACTGATTTTGTTTTTTAACTAAAAAACAAACAAAAAAAAGAAACACTTTCTAAATCTTCTTCTTTCTCAAACTTCAAGAAGAGAATGAATTACTGTGGCAGACACCAGTTCTTCAACCACTACTGGTACTTTAGTGGGTTTATATACTGTAAATAATAAAAAGTAAAGTATTACTATGATTGAATATACTAAGTTTATTTACTACACTTTTAAAATCTATTTTCACCTTAAGATAATAGTTTGTCAAGAACAGGATGTTGACGTCTGTAAATCAAAGATTCTCCAGCAGTGATTTCGTGTCACAGGAACACGAGAGCTTTTGGTCTTACTGCTGCCCCCTGTGGTCAGTTTGTGTCTCTGTGGTGAATCCACGCAAAAGAAAGCAAATGCTGAAATCATCAAATACTACATTCAAACTCACTGTTGGAGCCATCAGTGGATCAACAACTGCTGTGTCGTCCTGGTCACATGATGACGTAAATGATAGACGTCCAAACTGCACACATTTTCTGTCAAACAGTTTTTATTGTCAGACTTGAGAACCGAACAGTGTAACTCCACACGTCCGTGTGTCTGTCCACCTAACTGTCCAGTGAAACATTGAAAGTACCACAGTACTGTTTGCTACAATGATCACAGCACGAGTCTGGACTTCACAGGTTAAAACTTTGATGAATGTCAGTTTGTTGATGTCAAGTCTGTTACCGCTCCGGTCGTACGCTGTGGGTTAGACATTTTATTACACTTTTATTGCAAAGTTTATACTACAGTAAGAGGAAAGAGGATATGTAGTCTTACTATACTAAAACTGCAAACAGACAGAAAATAAATAAATAAATACAAGATTGAAAACATTTAAATAAACGTCACACTCTACAAAATATTAAAAACATGTTTCATGTTTTTTATCCCGCTGTTCTAATCACTTTTCCAACCAGAAAACACAGAATCACACACACACCAAAGTCTTTAGTGAAAATGAGTGATTTTAGATCAAATCTACTAAAGATGTTGCTCCATTTTAGCTTTGTTCAAATGTACATTTTTGTGACTTCAGTTTAAAAGTAGGGATGTCCGATAATACCGGTCGATACTGGCATAATGATCTGTAAGAATCGTTATCGGTGATCTGAAAATAGTTTGGGGGAGAAATGGCTGTATATTAGAGTGAAAGTCACTAGATGGCAGCACTGCAGCTCATTTAATCTACAGATAAACAAATCCATATTACCAGGCCTATATAGGAATCGGTTAATATCGGAATCGGAAATTAAGTGTTTGGGAAATATCAGCATATCGGATATTGGCAAAAAGTTCGAATCAGATATCCCTATTTAAAAGATTATGTCAGTGACACTAACTGACCACTGGAGGCAGTTGTGGACCAGCATCTCTTCTGTCCCTGTGAGTTAAAATCTTTTTTTTTTTCAATGGGCTTTGTCACGGGGGAGTTATGTTTAGTTTAATTTCTTGTTGTAAAATTGTGTCTGACAATGTGATGAAGCTTCAGATGATTTGTTTACACTTTTGGCAGATTATGATGAGACACAGTCTTCTTGTCTCTGACTGGTTCTCCGTGACGTCAGAACTTCACAAAGCCACATTTTAAACTTGTATTGAAATGTATATAACATGTAACACTTGATATTTGAAATAACTTAAATCAAACATAGACTGAAGATGTTTAGTTGAAGTTAGATCCAATCTCTCTCTGTCAGCAGTGAAAACCAGACTCCAGTGTTAAAACCACAGCAGGAAAAAGAAAATCTACATTGACCCCATGGTGGCACGCTTTCCTCACAGAGAAGATCAAACACATCTGACCACATCTCTGAAACAGTTTTTTGGAGCTTGGAATCTTTAGTCCGGGTACAGGATGAATCCGGAGAAGGTGCTGTACTTGTTGTTGTTCCCACCGTGGGCTTTGCCTCCGTCCAGTTTGACGTAGACCTCGTCCCCAGAGTCCAGGTGCAGCACGGCGCTGTTGCTGGCGTAGTCGTAGTTCTGGTCTGCATCCTGAGCGATGGCGCTGGCTCGGACCTGGAGAAACAGCGGGGACAGCGATAAGCATCACTTTGACAAAGAGAGAGAGCAGAAAGGACCAGGGCGTCAGACCTCAGGGGCAGTGACGGAGTGAAAAGGACGGGAGCTTCAAATAGAACAAAACATTTGACCTTAACCTTTATCAGTGTTTTATCAAATAAATGTTAAGCGGAATAAAAATCTCCTCGTGTCATTTTTCTGACTGAAGGTACAAGATGTGGAAAAGGTGGCAACTTTTCTCTTTATTTTGAATTTATTTTCTTTTTTTCCTCTATGTTTTCATAAATATAAAATAGCGACAATAGAAGACAATCTAGTTTTCTAGTTTTTTAAAAACAACAAAACTGAAGAATAAAATTCACCTGACTAAAACAATTCAAATAATATAAAAATGAAGGACAGACCTAAAGGGTCTGTCCTCCACCTTTTCTCAGAGAAATGTCCCAAAAATGACGAGACAAAGCAGAGACCTCCTGCTGTGGATATGTGTCTCTGAGTGTCCCCGACTTAAGATGACATTTATGCCAACTTTCATTATTAACATATATACAGTATATGCATAAATATGCTCTGTATATATACTATATATATGCAGTGTGTATATATTTATATATTTTCACACACACACACATAAATACATATAAATGTCATGATCTCCCTCCACTAACTCTCTGTGAATCTGTTTCGAGCTTCAGTTCTGAGGACGTTGACTAACCAGGTTCCATTTTCCCACGGGAGCGTGACAGATTGTTTAAGAAGCTTCTAAGATTCTGGGTCGGACCGGTCGGACATCTGTCTGCACGATGGAGACACCATCCAACCACCAGACGCCATTTACGTCGTTTAGATGACCATCAGCAGTGTGACTGAGGTGAGGACTGTTACATCACCAGCACCAGTGGAACGTCACTAAGTCACTAACTGATGACTAGTGTGGGGGAGGTCCAGGACCAGCTCCTCCACTGAACCACTGCACCGTCACTGACACTCTTCATGTGCTGGTGATGGAACAAGAGGTTTCACACCCAGCTTTTTGAAACTGTTGCTATCACTGACTATCAGAAACTACAGGTCACCAACAGGTGTGTCAGGAGCCTGACGTCTGACTGAAGAAGAAAAATCAGAAGATAGATTTTTGCTAACTTATGAATAAATTTATTTTATTATTGTTCAACTTTTTATTTCTCAGCTGCAGAGAATTATGGTTCTTTGGTTCCAAATCTTTTTTTGTTTTGGTTTCCAAAAAAACCAAAACAAAAAAAAAAGTTTTAAAATGAGCTTCATTGTAAAAAATAAAATAAAATAAAAATCATAATTTCCTTAGTCTGAAAAATAAACTAAATAAACACAAAACTATTAGAATGAAGAAGAAGAACTTTCCTTATTTCAAAAATTTAAAAAAAACAACAAAAAACTGGACAAACTGTTGAACTGCTTCAATCTGTGGTCCTCCAAAAATAAATCACTGCTCATCAGTTTAGGTCGTTGATGTGACGTGACCTCCATACAGCTGTCGGTCTGTAGCAGCCGAGATTTTACGCGCGACAAAAGCCCAAATTTCTGCCGTTGAGACGCGCGTGAAAAGTGAGCACACACATTCATGATGTTCCCGGGACTTTACCAAGACCCTGAGTAACATGAATGTGTAGTGACAAAATCCCGTCACGCCTGAAAATACATCTGACCCGAGGCGAGACCGTGCGCTTTTGTGCGTAAAATGTGCGTAAAATGGAAGAAGTGGCACGTTGCTTAGATTTATACGTGGTTTCTTTGGCTTGTGCGTGTACGCGTGCGTGTCACCTGTCCGTTCTTGCACAGGTCGGCCCACATGCTGGTTCCGTCCCCACCCCGCATCAGGACGTGGTAGGTAAAGAAGTAGATCCCGGAAACCTGGCAGGTGAACTTTCCTGTGCTCGGGTCGTAGTGGTTCCCCAGGTTCGTAATGACGTCGTCGAACTTCAGAACCTCGTATCCTTCATGCGGGTTCTTTAGACCCACGTAGAACGCCACCCTGTATGTGAAGACGGTGGCGTTAGCGCCGTCCGACGCGTCCCCGCTCCCGGACCCGGCAGATCCACTCAGCGCCGGGAATGAGATTTTGCTGTGGCCGCGTTGACCCGGAGGACCCCGCGGACCCGGGGGTCCTGGTTCTCCAGGAGGTCCCCTCGGTCCCGGTTTACCCGGTCTGCCTGGTTCTCCGCGTCCTCCCTGCGCCACCCGCGGCTGAGGGGCGACTTCGTCCCCGCTCTGAACCAGCTCCACGGCTGTGGCACCTCCTGGTTTAGGAGTGTATGGGTCACAGACCATCCTGCAAGTTCCCATCATCTCATAGTAATGAGCTGAAGCTCCGGTGGTGCGGATCAGAAGAACCGGGATCACGACTACCAGAACCAGGAGCACCATAGTGAAGACCAGGACCAGGGTCCACTTGGAGCGTCCAGGTCTGGGGCAGTTGCAGGGCAGGATGAGCTGGTCTGGACTCGAATCCTAATTGAGGACGTGGTTCTGGAGAGACGGGGATTTAGAGATCATCACTGAGACCAGATGTGGTTCTGAAAATGCGCAGGAGAGAAAGAGCGTCTGCGCTGCAGCGGAGTGAGAGTCCAGAGGCGCATCCACAGTAAAGACAGCGACATACGACGGAAACTGGGGAGTGCTGACTTTCAAAATAAAACTATTACAGGAAACTGTTTTTGGTCGCGATTTTTTCTAACTTTATAATAAATAAACGCAACACAGACAGTGTTTTTACTTTTTACGTCTTAATTGAATGAGACTTATTCAATTTCAATCAAGTTTAACGAACAACTAACGAAAAACTCTTTAATAATAACCTTATACACTGCAAAATGTTTTATTTGTTTAAGAAATACAAACATTTATGGATATAATATCATTTTTTGCAACGTTTTAACACATTCTGTGTACATATATTACATAGGTAAATATATTGTATGTATTTACAACCTTCAAAATCCTGATAATCCAATGTAGGTCTTCTGGGGTTTTTTGTTTGTTTGTTTGTTTGTTTGTTTGTTTTTTGTTTATCAAAAACATTATCGGTTAAATTCACAGCAGAAGATCAGACTTTAATAATTTCATTTTGAATTAATGCAGGAATTAGACTTGAACTGACAGAGAAAAGCACTTGTGTAAAGTCGGATCATCTGTTTATTTGATGTGACTCAGAAAAGGAAGAATAACAGGTACATTCCTTTCAGCCGGAAGCCCAATAAAAAATGAATATATGTATGGAATTTTAAAATCAGTCTTCTGCATATTTATCACGATGAACCCTAGGGGTCGCTGCTGCTGCCCTTACGTCGGATCTTTTTTCATGTTGCATACATTCCTTCGCTCATTTCCCTGTGGAATATTCAGTGTTTCAGACACACATCCATAAACCTCGCAGTGATAAAAAATCATATCTGTGTGTGTGGGAATCTGAAACTCATCTGACACGGTTTAAATCATTCTTTTAAATCTGTGTCAAAGACTGCACTTTGAATAAATGTGGAGGATTATGAAGGGGAAATAATCAGCGACTTGTCTCGCCCTCATATGGATTTAGTTTCAAGTAAAATTGAGGATTAAATGATTGAAAAGTTCACACCATCATAAAATTCACAATTTTAAACATTTTGTTATTTCTTTTAGTTTTACCCTTAAGCTATTTTGTCATGTTTTTACCTGTCTATAAGTTTGTTTCTGACCACGGTACAAGTTTTTTACATTCTTTAAATAACTAGTTAAAATGTCTTTTTTTGTCATATGACAAAGTTTCGAATATTTAGAATATTTTAATTAGAAAAAAAAACTGAAGACCCATCTCTCAGGTTTCTCCTGGTAGAGCTGTGTTTACCTCAGCATGAATCACGTTAACGTTGAATCACGACTTGTTCAAACTGTCTCAGCCTGTTACTGTACATCTGTGTGTAAACGTTCACTCATCCAGAAGATGGTGAGATTAATGCTGCAGCATCAGCTGCAACGTCTGACCTTCACCACAGTGGACAAACATCTACCTTAATGTGATGTGTTGATCACTGATGTCCTGTCAGATGTTTCTCTGCCAACCTCCGTCTTCTCTGTGACACAGCCAGCAACGCACCACTGTGGATTCACTGCACGTGAAGTTTTAAGATTAAGATTTTAACCCCAGTTTATTTTATCTACAGCATCTTTCGTCAACAATAATCTAGGATTTTCTATCTTTCTTTCTTTTTATAAGGAAACATGATCATCACACAAAACTGAACCAATTCAAGGAGGTGATTTTATTCGCAGTATCCATATAATGAAAATGATTTATTTCTGCCAGTTAACTCCTCACAACAGGCTACAACACTCTTCATTTATTAGCTGAGATGAGAGGAGCTGCTGATCCACTGCTGTCCTGTGGGGTTAGTTTCTGTCACTGACACCAAAGTAACCAAAAATTGTTAATTTCCTTTTTTTTCTTCTGTGGGACTTGTTGTGGGAACATGACAGGTTTGAAAGTAATATGTAATAAATATGTGATAAATGTGAAGACGAGGTGGTCGTCCTGACGTGGATCCAATGTGGTTGCTGTGTTCATGGTTCATGACCACAAAAACACAACGTTTGTGAGATGAGTATACAGAGTATGGCGAGGTGCATGAAAGAATGTGTTCATGCTGCAGAAAGTGACCTTCATTCAGGATGAGTACAGTGAACTGTGTCCGTAGGCTGTGGTTGTGGTGAGCTGCACGGCACGCTGCTGTCCTCAACATGCAGCCTTTCCCTGCAGGCTCTCTGGAAAAGATAATATGATAACAGTGTGACAGGACCACATTTGTACATCATTATGGTGTACCTGCTCTGTCAGAAGCTGCATGCAGAAAAAAAGGCTATTATCATCTCTTTTCTTTTTAACTTAGATTTATTTATATCTTAATTTGTATCATTATTTAAAATGATAAAGTGTCTTTAACTACATTTAGACGTCTGCATTAATATAGCTGTTAAGATAAATTCTTACATTTCAGTTTGGTGGAATATCATGTTAACTTGGTTGTAAGAATCCTAGCCTGATTTCTCGAGTTTATTGTCGTGTTTTTGGACCTCAGTATTAGGTACACAGGCCTGATGACAGGAGTGTTTGTTTTGTGTTTGACACCCTGTTCCAGCTCATTTGTGTTGAGATAATTCATACTACCATTAGACCAAACCAAAGAATGATTTGACTTTATGTCCTCACATGTTTTTTTTACCAGCTCTGTCTGGTCTCACCTTCAGACAAGAACAAACATCTTTCTGAGGATTCAAATCTGATCTGAGCACAGGTTGAAATTGCACATAAAGGGAGTAAGATGAGGAGCAGGTGGAGGAGGAGGAGGAGGAGGAGGGTTTGGCGTCACCTCAGGGCTTCAGCTAAGCCCAGTCTCTGAAGATTTCCTCTCGTCGCCTTGAGCTCTAAAGCCTCCGTCATAGCTGCTCCAATTCCAGACGCTCACGCCTCCTCCACCCCCCCGACCCCAGCCTCTGATTTTCAACTCTTTCAGCTCCTGCAGGAGAATTCTGGAGCTGGGGGACAAAATCAATATATACTTTTTTACACCACTCCTTATTAGGGGAATAAAAAGCTTCACGTTTTGGAAATAAGCAACGCGAGACATTAATAAGACTTTTATTCAGGCGCTGATGTGCTCAACAAGTGGCCTGAAGGAGACATTTAAGAGGAATCAGCGTGTGATGGAGTAATGAAGGCTTTAACGCTGTGGTCAGAATTTTAATTGGGACCAGGATCTGAATTCAGGGCCTGTGGGCTGGAGAAGCTCCTGAAACAAGACATCAGATGTGTCCCTGCAGCTGAGGACAGCTGGAGACAGACGTCTCTGTGCTCCTTTTTTGTATATATTTTCTCTTTCACCCTCGTCGCCCTCCTCCTCCTCCCCCGTGTCTGTTTGTGCACAGTTACCAGCTGTGATCCTGCCCTCAGCCATTTACTCCTGACTTTGAAAAGACCCGCACTGGTGGTCAGTATTTATTTGCCTGCTTTTTCAGATGCTTGCAAATGTCACCATAGTAGGAACGCATCAAAGAAATTATGACATTATTATGTATCATGATGAAATTAGAATTACTCATCTTTGGTTTAAACTGCATATTTCTGCCGTTAAGAGTTATCGTAGATGAAATTATTTGACTTGAAAATGCTGTCTATAACCTGCCACTATAAAAGCCCTTAATGATACATCCTGAACCACCAGGACTTTATAGAACATCTGTTTTCTCTGTTTTTCTCCCAGCAGTTGTGGTGACACTGATGATTTTAACCACCTTAGACATTTTTTTAATATATTTAAACTAGTTTGTAACCACTCATTTCTTAGAGTCACAAAATAATTTAGTTCATATGTGTTTTGTGTCTTTCAGTTTTCAAAATATCTTTTTGCAGTCACAAACACAAACACACCACAGGAGGCAGCAGTGGACCAGAAACTCCCGAGTCTCTGAGCTAAAAATCACTGACGTTCACTGTGGACCCTGGTGCAGGAGAGTAAGGGCTTTTCAAGCGTTCCATATTCCTCAAATTTTCTTAAAATATTTTTAACATAAACCTCCTTTGCGTCCTAATTTAATACGTAAAAAGTGGTAAAAACAGATTTTTCTTGTGAGTAAATTAGTACTACTAATAAATTACTACATAATGAAAAATTTACTGTAATTTTTTCTCATTTTATCTGGTATTATTTATGTATGTTGTATTATTTTATTTATTTATTAGTATTGTTTGTTCTTTCACAGTCTGATTATTGTGTCCACTGAGCTGCTCTGTTTTATCTCGTGCACACACTCGGGGGGCGTGGTTAGGGCGTAGTTACGTCATCTTATCAGGAAGAAGCGGAGCAGTTGAGAGAGCGGTTGAAGAAGCGCGGAGGTGAGTGAAAACACATGCAAGGTTAACAATTATATCGTGTTAATAGCATAACATTTAAACTTGTAAATTATTTTTTACATTTAGCTGGTTGTTTTGTAGTTAATTTCGTTCACTTTGTTTATAAAAAGGAAACTTTCTGGCGCCGTAAAGTTTTCACGAGTTGAACTAAGGCCATGGAGTAAGGTGGCTGCTACACACTGATACAACGGTCCTGCTTGTAATCGCTCTTTTTTATTATGTGCCAGTGTCTTTGGGGAAAGGCGTAAATGGTTTAACTAAACAGTTTTTGATAGTATTTGACCGTATGTGAAATCCGGCATATATTTGAACGACTATTAAACCGCACTTTTGTCCAACCTTTCGTTTTAATTTCGTACGGTACATAGGATTGAGGCAACGTCATCTATAGTTTAGAATGGCTATCCTGCAGTTTAATCGTACGTAAAAATGAATGGGATGTCGTTTTTGAAACTATGACAGTTCTCTTAATTAACAGATGTAGGACGTGTCATTTGAGACTTGGAGATAATGAAAAACCTAGTTCTATGTTTCCAGTAGTTCCGTTAGGTAGAATGTGAAATTATATTAAGAAAATTAACCCAAATGTATCAACCCTACATTTGAACTGTTATTGTTATTAAAGCTCTCGTGTCCAGTAAAAATGAATAATTTTACAATATCGAGATATAGTTAAACATTAGTCTTTTATGGTTTTGCAAATAATTTAAAGGTAAGCTAGAAATGGTAGAATATTTCTGACTCTGTCTATGAGCTTTGATAGCTAAAACTAATGCCTACTCTTTGCCATGTTAAGATATTATTGACATATATAAACTAAATATAGCTCAAAATACTGAAAGATTAAAAAGTTATCATTTTGCCAAATTTCCTAGATACCAAAAACTGTACATATATAAATATGAAGTCAGGTCAAACTTAGTCAACAGTGTAGTAAAATAGTGACAAACACCTAATAGACAATGATACAGTTTCCTGATACCAGTGCTAGGAGGTTTTAAAAGTGTACTATCAGACTGTCTGTTGTTTTTGCAGCCGTGTCAATGCGTCATGTCGGACGACATGTCAAGGCCTTTGGTTCGTGGCAGAGGAGGCGTCGGAGACTCCTGGCATCTGGAAGCCCCTATGTCGGAACTGCAACCTCCACTGATCGGTATCCTGGGCACAGGGGACTTTGCCCGCTCTCTGGCTGGACGACTGGTGGGCTCGGGCTACCAGGTGGTGGTGGGCAGTAGAAACCCAAAGCGCTGCTCGTCTCTGTTCCCTGAAGAGACTGAGGTGACGTTAAGTCCACACCTAACTGCTGTTTTTGTTTCCCTCTGATGATAATTACAACTTTCCCCAAACTCTTTAACCATCAAGAGATAATAACTGTTGTCTTCCTGCTAAAACACACACAAAACGCACGATGTCAGCTTATGACAGCGGTGCTGTGGGAGCACAACAAAACAGCCAATGTGAAGACCGGGGTCGATTATAATCAAATAAAGTTTCACTCTCACACAAAAGTTCATAGAAAAATCAGTGATTTACGTTCACACCAACCCATGTGTTCTACTGCTGTCACCATTACTGAGTGCTTTTTGGTACAGACTGATCGAGGGTTAGCGAAGTAGGGTTTCTGTTTGCTGACCTGGTGGTTCATGGATAAATTCCACAGTTCCTGGTTGCTAAAATCACTGGTCATACTTTTGGACTATGAACTTCTGTTTCCTGTAATAAAAGAGTAAGAGTGAGACAAGGCACTGATGTTATTACTAGAATACTGTAAACGTTGGTCAGGTGCAAGATTTTATTAGGTGAGTCAGAACCACAGTTTGTAAAGTCAGTGAAAAAATGTAAAAGAAAAATTGGAAAAGACAAAAGGGAAACACTGAGAGTAGAGAACCTGCTGGTGGTCATTGAACATCAGAGTTGTATTTACAATACGTTTTACCATCTGTTCCGTAGGTGACCTCTCAGATGGAGGCAGCCACTCATGCTGACCTGATCTTCATCGCTGTCTTCCCCGAACATCACTCATCACTGCTGCAGCTGAAGCAGGCGATGGCTGGGAAAACTCTGGTGGACGTTAGCAACGGTTTGAGAATGAATTGTGACGGACCATCAAATGCCAGTCGCCTGGCCGACATGTTTCCTGAGAGTTCAGTCGTCAAAGGCTTCAACACCCTCTCAGCCTGGACGCTGCAGATGGGGCCGCGGGACGGGAGCAGACAGGTAAAGGTGGATCTTACCTTGGTCATGATGGTACCTGATGTTAGAATTACAAACCATCTCCTAGATCTCAAACTAATTTATTCATCAATTATTTCATAGACAGTTTCAACGCTGATATTTTAAACAATGACTGAATAATGTAGCACCCTCTTCTGGCACTTCATAATAAATCACTATAAGTTCATGTTGGTGAGCTGACCTATATTTGAAGCCAGCTAATGAGGTATATTTAAAATAATCACAATAATGAGAATGTTTTGTCTTCCTCATATTTAGATCTTGACATTTTCTTACCCATGCAGGTTTTCCTCTGCAGTGATGACCATCGAGCCAAGCTGTCAGTGATGCAGCTCTGTCAGAGGATGGGCTTCATCCCTGTGGACTATGGCCTCCTCTCCTCAGCTCTGGACGTTGAGAACCTTCCCTTCCATCTCTTTCCGTCCTGGCACGTCCCTGTCCTCGGTCTGTTTTTCCTCTTCGTCTTCTTTTACCTCTACAACTTCATCCGGGACGTCCTGCACCCTTACGTCACCAAGGGTAAGAACGTGTTCTACAAACTGCCCATTGACACGGTGAACGTAACACTGCCCTGCGTGGCTTTGGTGATGCTGTCCTTGGTCTACCTGCCTGGTGTGGTGGCCTCCATCGTCCAGCTGTGGAGAGGAACCAAATATAGAAGATTCCCGCCGTGGTTGGACCAATGGCTGCTCCGCAGGAAACAGTTGGGTCTGTGCAGCTTCCTGTGTGCTGCACTGCACGCCATCTACAGTCTGAGTCTGCCCATGAGGAAGTCTGCTCGATACAAACTCATCAACACTGCCTATAAACAGGTCATCATAACAGAAGAAAATATCCTCTAACACTAATGTACATGGACCGAATCACCACCACTCTCATGGCTTCAGTCCAGGTTCATTATCCAAGACATTTAGTCCTTAGTAAAGACACCAGGATAATCATGATGTTTTGTTTGCTGCTGGGTTTAACCTCGCAGGTGAAGGATGGGGTGGAGGACTCGTGGCAGGAGGAGGAGGTGTGGAGGATGGAGTTGTACGTGTCTGCAGGAATCTTGGCTCTGGGTCTGCTCTGTCTGTTGGCTGTGACATCACTGCCTTCAGTCTCTAATGCAGTCAACTGGAGGGAGTTTACCTTCGTACAGGTCTGTCCTTTATAGATTTAATATATATTTATATATATATGCAGTGTATAAACACACAGTTCATGACTGTAAACATCACCAGGTTTTTGACTCACACCTTTGTCTTGTATTTTATTTAGGTTTTGTCTCTTTCCTCTTCCTTTTTCCATGTCCATTACTGTCTTGTCTCCTTCCTCTCCTCTGACCTCGCCCACTAATTTCTTGTTCGCTCTCCTGTCCTTCCTCTACCCTTCCCCTTGTTTCTGTTTTTCTTGCTTTGCTCCTCTCCATATATTTCTCCCCCCATTTGTTTTTTGTCATCTACTTCTCTGTTTTCTCTGCTGCTTTGATTCCTTTGCCCTTCTCTCTAACACCTGGGAACCTTCAGTGTCCTCTCTAATGTTTCTGTACTAACCTGTTATTTATCTCTGCCCTTCTTTTCTCTCTTCTTCTCTTTTCTCTCACCCCCATATCTCTGTCCTTAGTCATGGGAACCAATCTGTCACATGTTTTTTTATTTTAGTCTGTGAACATGAGCAGTCTTCTATTATTGAACTTTTTCTTCCAGGAGGACTGTCTGTGTGTGTGTGCGTGCAGTCTAAACCTCAGACCCAGACCATGTTGAACCATGTCTAATCTCTCTGTGTGTGTCTCTCCCTGCAGTCATCTCTGGGTTACTGTGCCCTCTTCATGGCCACCCTCCACACCTTGCTTTTTGGCTGGGATCGAGCCTTCAAAGCGGATGAGTACCAGTTCCTGCTGCCGCCCACCTTCATGCTGGTGCTGCTCCTCCCCCTGACGGTGCTGGTGGGGCGACTCACTCTCCTCCTGCCCTGCATTGCCCTGCGGCTCAAAAAGATCCGCCGCGGCTGGGAGACGAGTCAGCATGTCAGATTCATGAGTCTGGAAGAAGAGGACGACTGTCGTGGTGGACTAGAGGGTGTCAGTAATGTCTGAGGGTCCTCTGGTCCAGGGTCAGGGCTCGACCTTGAGGGAAAATCCAAATTTCTGAAAACAACCTGTGTTATCTGAGGGTTGACTTTGTCAGAATGTGAGGGTGAAATGATCTGTGGGCTTCCATAGCACAAACAACTTCCATCTTTGATACTACTGTATTGTGCATTTTTTTAAACTATAGAAAATATGCTGAAAATTAGCCATAAAGTACCTTAGATAGTTCTGTAGATAGAGGTCGCTAAAAACTTCTAGATGAAAAAATGTGAACGAGAAAATATGAAAATTTTAACTGTGCCTAAAAACAATTAAAAATTAGATTTAGGTTAAACAAAAGTTTGGAGCTAACCTGACCTTCGTCCACTCTGTTGACTCCAGCTTTATTATTAATTGTAAGTGGTCAACAGGGTCCAGGCCTAGTTGGTCATACCTCCTTGACAAGTGATATGAAGAAGGCAGACATGGATCTCTGCAGGTGGAGAGAAGCTGTAAAGGATCCCAGTATCTGGAGCCAGGCGACCAATACACTCATGTCAAGGAGACGCTGCTCTTCACTGACAAAGAGGCGAGAGGAAACAACTGTGAGCAGCAGCCTGACGCCTTGTCCATGTATGTGTGTTAACTGCTGCCCTACATCCATCCATTGTCACTGTTGTTACTTTAACTTAAAAACAGCTGAATCTGAGTTGAGAAAAATGTATTTTAAGTCAAAGACAGATATTAATATAATTTAACGTTTACACACACTAGTTTAGGGATAAATAAATGTATAAATGAATCTTTTTCACATTCATAAAACAGTTTAGTTTCTGCTTCAGAATTTGCCAGCTCCAATCATTAGATTTGTGTTTGTGTGTGTTTGTTACACACTGATATGTTTATTGAGTCACTTTGTGATGTTATTTTTATTATTTATTCACTCATTTTAAATATGATAGTTGTAGTGTTTAAATCAGAGCAAACTATAGTGAGAAAGACCTGCTGAAACTTCATTAAAGTTTATGGATGAAGTGACATCCAATCACTGGATAAATGGTTAACCACAAATTGATATTTTTGATTAATCAATATCTGTGTGAATTAAGTATTATTTTCATGATCAACACTGAAGATGTCGTCACTGAACCTGTTGCTGCCAAAGATGACAACGTTTCTGTTATAACTCAAGAAAGTCACCAAGTGTCTGTTTGTACTACATTAAATTATCCTGAGTTCTGTTTACTAAGTCTAATGCTTTTGTTTTGTTTGTCAAAATGTTTTGTCTGTAACCAGGCTGATGTCCAGGTATTATGTGTGTGAATGCTACCATCTGGTGGTGAAAACACACTGACTTGATATATTGACCTTTTGAACAAGTAAAAACCGCCTGTGTTTTCGTTTGTTTGATTAATATGATGTTATACAGCTGTTTTAACGCGCGTTGATTCCACAAACTGATCCTGACGTCTGAAAGACATTTAAAAGTTCCTGATTGTTTTCTTTCCTATTGACTTTATGTGATGCAAATGACGATTTTACGTGTGTTAATGCCGCCATCTGGTGGTCAGTTAAAAACTTTATGAAAGTGGACCTTTTTATTTCCTCGTTATACATTAAATACCTAAGCGAGTGATTTTCTAGAATAACGATTATTTTTTTAATAGTTGAACCACATTTGGTAGACTCTTGATTTGGGCAAATTTTCACGATTTTTCTTTTAATAAAATCAATTCTCTGCTATGAGTAATTCCACCTGTTTTTGCTGACATTTAACACAAGACATCCTTTTCTTTATCCCTGGTTTCCTTTGGCCAGAAAATGCATAAATTATAGTGAGCGTTTGGCCTTTGGTAAACTATCACTTCAGATTAGGCAAAAATAAATCAGTTTAAGAATGAATCCAGGATAGATGCTAACGGAGTGAAACGTAAGTTATGATATGTAATGAAACTGGTCCGTGGTTATGGAATGTATTCCGTGCAGCTCACGCCACCGTGTGATGAGGTTAACGTGTCTGGTGTGACGTCACACTTTAAACCCCTCCTTGAGGAAACGCCCTTAAACCTGCAGTTTTTAAACCCGTCAGACCAGAACAGACTGTTTAACTATATCAACTGCAGCCCTAAGTGCAACAGAAGCCGCTGAGATCATGTCTGTGAGTTTCTCTATTTTATCCATTTATTGTTATCATACTTTATATCACATAAGCTCATCATACTCTCACTGCAGAGAAAAAAAACAAACAAACATTGTCCGCACGTGTTTACTCAGTTTAAACAAACTCAGGAGTTCATTTTGTTTTTTGTTTCCTCTCTTTTAACCCGGATCAGTGATTTTGTTACGGTCCAATGTATTTGTGATCCCTGTGGTTCTGTATTTCCAGCTCTTTCCGTTTGTATTTTCGTAACTTTTACCTAAGTCAAAACTACTTCTACTAAGGAATAGAAGATAGTCTACCTGGGCTGGTCAGGGCCAGCACAAATTATGCGTTAACGTATGGCAAAAATTAGCTGACTCTTTACAAATTTAGTGAATCAAAATGAGTGACAGGATAAACAACACTCGCTGAAAAATAAAAGAAAGTGAGGTAAATGTTTTCATAGAAACAACTTAAACAGGAAAAAGTTTTAGTCACAAAAGTTGGATATTGTTTTTCTGCCTGAAATGAATCTTCCTGTATTTGATTATGTGCTGAAATCTAATTTCTAACAATATCTGTAGAAGAAACCGTTCATGTGAGTAGGAATGCCCCCATGACTCTGGTGAGCTTGGTGCTTGTCCCTGCTCTTTAGGATCTTCTACATTCCTGTCTGAGGTAATAGAACAGTCGCTGATGCTTTTCTTTGTCTCCAGGAATTGTTCGATAAAGCAGTGGAGGAGGTTAAGGTCCTGAAACAGAGGCCGGATAAAAATGATCTGTCTGATCTGTATGGTTTATACAAACAGGCCACGTTGGGAGACGTCAACACTGGTCAGTGTCCACAGAAGGTCCTTCTCCCCTGTCTGTCTGTCATTAGTTGTACATGTGAGTCATCCTGAGCTCAGATTATCTGTTCATCAGTTGTGTGAAGGTGAGGTGGAGCCAAAAAATGATGTCTGTCCTGTTTACCGTCACTTTGCACAACTTAACAGCTCCACTGTTGTTTTAAGGCCTGTAGTATCTACCAATCTTGGATCTTAAAATTGAAAATGTACAGCATCATTTCCAATCGCATTCTTTTCCCTGATTTTGAATTCCAATAGAAATGAAACTTTTATTTTAAACTTTTATCCACAGAACGGCCAGGTTTTCTGGACATTATAGGAAAAGGGAAGTGGGACGCGTGGAATACAATGAAAGGTTTGTGTTCGGCTACACACTAAATATCTCTAATAAATTGTAAACCAAGAATTATTCTACATAAAATCATCTTTTATTTGTTTGTGAACTTGCAGGAGTTTCTAAAGATGAGGCCATGGCTGCTTATGTCGATTTGGTGGAGAAGCTGAAGATAAAATATGGAATTTAACCTGTAACAAATAAACAAGAATTTTTTTTTTTTTGTTATGAATCGGAACGAAAACGTAGGCTTCGTTTCTGTCCAGACTGTTTTCACTGCTGCACTGAGTCACACGCTCCCGCTTCTATGTTTGACTGGCGACGTTTATTTTAAAGGTGACAGGAAACACTGTAGGCATGGTTGACGGTGACGTCACTGAGAAAATAAAGATGCGATTTCTCTGGAGAAGTTGTTACGGAAGCAGGAACTGTGAGAGTAATTTATACAGAACAAGTCGTAGGGCCGATGTTAAGAAAAACGCTTTATTACATGACTATATAAATAAAAAAAACACCGCATCTGTTGAAATGACTCTGTTTTTCTCAAATAATTTTAAAGAAAACAATCCAATCATGTTGTTTATGATTTATTAAATGTCTACTATTGGTAACGAACGACTTATTTTCTTACACCTGGCCCACTGCTGTCCCCTGTGGTCAGTTTGTGTCACTTCAGTTTCAGCTCATTTTTATAAGCGCTTAAACCACACACACAGACTCTACTGTACTGAGTCACCACCGATGATTTTTAGCTCTCTGAAAATCAGCATGCTGCGTCCACTGCTGCCTACTGTGGTCAGTTTGTGTCACTGGGGTAGAGCTGAAAAAATATTTCAAATTGTGGAATCGCAGAATTACACAGCACTCCACGTGATATGTTCATGGATTTTCAGAACATTTCTATAGACATTTGTCAATGGATATACACTATAATGACTATTTCACAGATGTTGACACTGTTCCATTGTCCTGCTGGTTGTAGTGTGTGTGAGAAGAATTAATATCTCACAGAAAGTGTTGCATTTAATACTACAAACTACAGCCGTCTTAATGTGGGAAGAGTGCACCAGTCCAACCACTGACTGTGTAGTTACAATACGCGGTTCCTTTAACAAACAGCTAGAATTAATCATTCTGACTGCTGAGCTCTAATCTACTGCTCACTGTGTGCGTGTGTGTGAGAGAGATCTTAATGAGTCAGTGTTCGCATAAAGGGCCTAACGGTGAGAAACTGTCACTGCCTTATCTTAACAAATGAGTTTCCCTGAAATGCATCTACCAGAGTAATGTGGTGTATTTAATGAATGACACTGGGTGTGTTTGTGTGTGTGAAAGGGACATACAAAGGACAGCTATTAGTATGGGCTTTCAAAGGACATAAACTCTCCAGTAACAAAACTGTTACTGCTACAGTACTGTTAAATAGCTAGCTGTTGAGCTGTCACAACGATAACTACAATTAAAAACCAGAAGGAATTTACAGTCTAAATTCTAAAATCATTCAAATGTTAGTAAATGCATGTAAATAATAATAATAATAACCATAATAATAATAATTCCTGTTCTTATTATTATTATAAATTCGTTGGTTAATTCTGTCTCTTTGAAAGTCTCACAGTAAAATGTGTCATTTTTAATGGCTTACATTTCTCTACTAAATAAGTACAGTAATAAATAAATTCAGCTTTTGTCTTCGTGCTAAAAACGTGTGAAAAACCGAATTCTGATAAAAAGGGTTCGCGTTCGCAATGTGTTATATAATAATGGCCGTATGAGCCCAGTGGAACCTTTTATTGTGAAAGTGTGAAAGTAGTTTTTCCGGTCTGAGGTTGTTTGTGCCCCGCCCTCCACAGAGCGCAGGTGTTACCACGACGACAGCAGTGACTGTTTTGTTTGGCTGAAAAGTCAGAGAAGCTACTGCTGCTAAGTTGATCTATTATGGTGGCTCTTTCCTTTTTATTTTGTAGTCTTACACAGCGAATATAAACGTCTTTTGAATTTCAATAAGTTCATACAGTTTTACAAAAATGACAGAATGAAAAAAAGGCATTTTTCGTGATGTTTTAAGGTGAGTTAAGTAGTCGCTACAGTTCTGTTGCGGCGTTAGCATAATTAGCTGATTTGAACAAATTACGCGAACATCTGCTTGTATCGGCAGCGTTTTTTCATAACTTGTAAGACAATTACTCAGACAATTATTTTAATTGCCAGAAAAAACAACAAAGTTTTAAAGCCTTACTGAACCTTTAACTTTAACTGAAAACATTTAACTTTAAACCTTTAACTTTACCTTTAACTTTAAACCTTTAACTGAACCTTACTGAACTCTTCCTAAGAGTTTGAGGGGGAGGAGGGGTGGTAATTGCTTTTTAAATGTCAAACATTATTATTCGTTTTTGGTAAATCATTTTCACATATGTCACTGTAACTACATACAAAATCTGTATTGAACGTTGTGTTTTTGTTTTCTCTGCTTTAATGGCCTTTTCTTATCTACCTATTTATTTAATCTATACATTATATTGGTTTTACTTTTGCTAACATTGCTACAGCTTGTTATTTTAGATTGGACAAACAGATCTATGATGGCGAGGCATACATGTGTTAAAACCAACTATGGGAGATTATCGTTTACAAAAAAACTTAAAATTGCAAGACCCCATAATGCTCAATGCACAGTATATACAGAATATATTTTTTAAATTCACTAATTTCTTTGTTCATTGTCCATTAAATTGATACGTTGTTTTTGGTTTTTTGTTGTTGTTTTTTTTACAAACATTTGCTTAATTTAAGCTTTTACTTCTATTTATTGTCATTAAGATTGTCCTTATTATTTCTCTGCTTCTGGTCTTTCTTCAGCTGTGTGTGAAACCTTTCAAGTGGACCCTGAACTGACCTGTAGTCAGGATGCAGGTGGCCCCTCCTGTGGCCTCACAGCCAGTCCCTGAGCCTCTCAAGAGGATTAAGACTCCTCTTCCACTGAGTGAGCTGGTGGAGAGGCGCAGGAGCCGGGACCTAGCTCCCAATCACCTCCTAGACTCAAGTATGTCTTTAAAAGACTGTCTGAGACCAAAAGAGAATATCTATCATATCTGTATCTACATCACTGCTTTGTCCCCTAATGTAAACTCCCAGAGACACAGCAGTGGTGGACCTACTGCTGCTTATATCACAAAGATCAGATAACACTACACTGCATTATTAGATTTGTATCACATATGAGCACACGTATTTGTGTTCTTGCTGATACCAAGTCCATTATCACTTTAAATCACTCCTACATCATTTACTTGTTTTCTTGAAGCTTCCAAAATGAACCAAGTGATGAATGTGTATTTTCTGATCTTTTAGAAATCTTTACCAAACTGAAAAGAAACAGTGTGATTGAAGCAGATCCTCCTGAGCTTCACTTCAACGGCTTCGAGCCTGGAAAAGACTTCATCAAGATTCTGGTCCGGAGACAAAAAGCTTTAATCTTTATTTTTTCACCTAAGTTCATTGTGCACAAATGCAGTGTCCACAATGCATGGCTAATTTCTTCTCAGTATAATTTAATGTTTTCTTCTGTTTATCCCTGAGGGCTTCATTACTGAGTTAAGGAAACAAAGAGAAAAAAGAACTGATTATTTTATCACAATCTTAAAACAGTCTTTTCATTATAGAAATGGATCTT